AGGGTTAGGTGATGAGCCAAGGCTGTCAGATCCCCATGGAAAATTGAGTTGAGTGTGCACAGGAAAGGCAGCGCTCACAGACCCCGCCCGGAACTCAGACTCACACACACTTCCAATCAAGTTCTTCAACCGCGGGAGCCATCTGTCAAAGTTCCGAGGCCAGGACCCTGGGGCACAGGCTCCTGCTAGCCCGGGGGCTGTTTGTTCATTGCTCATTTCACGGGCTACTTTCTCTAGACCCCTGAGTCTAGAAAAATGTACTTCTGCCTTCGTGTATCTGAGGTGCCAGTTTTTTGAAACAAAGTAAGAGCAAACATAAATAAGATGCAAAATTCCTACCACAGCACAGAAGTGATAGTTACACCGAATCGTTGGATGAGGCCAGCTGCCAGAGCATTGCAGGCCCGGCTGTGGTCTGGGTATGAACCAGAACTTTAAAGCCCTGAGTATAGTTATGAAAAGCGATAATCTCACATTTTTCCCTAGTTAGGGATTAAGCTTTTGACAGGATCCTCATGCCCACCATCTCAGAGCTAGCCTGGCTTGCCTTCCCTGGAATCACAGACAGAAGCCCCTTCTTAGGCAGGAAAGTGTTCTCACATGCCCAGAGTCCGGGGTGCTACAGGGGCATACTGGAGTCTTTCTGGATGAGACAGACAAATTGTGAGACTCAGATTCTAGGCCACAGGCGCGACTCCCATCATGAGGACTCCTGAAGGCCACGGTAGGAGTTTCCAAGCGAGAGCCGACCAGATCGCAAGTGTACTCTTCACTTCCCTACTTGAGACAGAAGCCCGGTGGTTGGGGACCACGGCTCCGGTCACAGCCATTGTTGGTAACTTTTCTGAGAAACCTTGGTGTGACCAGGCTATGCTGGGTAACCTGGGATGACAGCAAGGCTAGTTCTTGGATGTAAGAAGCCTTGCCACCTTTTAGAGGGAAGGACTCAATGGCGTGCTTGAAAATTCAAGAATGCCTGCAAGCTTTGTCCAAACAACACAAGGGAGTGATTTATGAGAGCAGAAGCCAGTTGAGCAAAGCAGTCTGGTGAGGAGGGTCTTTGTCCAGCCTTGAAAGGGAGAGATAGGCTGACAGAGAAGGTCAGGGGGTGACCCTGCAGGAACTCTAGGAAGGACTTGGGTATAAGCCTTAATAGGGGGCCCGGCCTACAGTATGGTTTTATTAATTGGTTTTAATGTCAACTTGACACAAGCTAAAATCGTCTGTCAGGAGGGAATGTCAACTGACCAATTGCCTCCATCAGATTGGCCTCCAGGCAAGCCTGTGGGGCATTTTTTTTTATTAATGATTTATGTAAGAGGGGCCATCATGAAGCCCACTGCAGGCCACACCACCCCTGGGCAGGTGGTCCTGGGCTGTATAGGAAAGGTAGCTAAGCAAACCAGGGGGAACAAGCCAGTAAGCAGTGTTCATCTCTGGTCTCTGCTTCGGTCCTGCCTCCAGGTTCCTGCCCTGGCTTCCCTCAGTGACGGACTGTGATTGGGACTTGGGGCATGGAAGCCAAAGAAACTTCAGTGAAGACGGGTGGGGAGTAGGAACCATAGCAGTTTATTGATCAGGGATGTCAAGAGAAAATGGTGACGGTGGCTTCTGGGTACCGCAGGGGCCTGGATGCCGCTCTTCCCTCGATGTTTCTCACAGGAGGATCATCTCAGTGACACAGGCCACATTCACAGTGTGAGTTAGTGATGTAGGATTTCCAACTTGAAAAGCAAAATGTCTACCCATTTGCTGATTTTCAGTATGAGAACCACTTTGAATTCTAACCAGTACAGTTGGCTTCTTCCTGCAAGACAAATGCCTACGGTCCTTCCAGCCTGGTGGCTTCCTCCTGCCGCCATGCTGTGAAATCGGGCCATCATCACCCATGCTCCCCAGCTGTCTTGTTTTTTTTTTATCATGAGAGCCTCCTGCTGGTCTCCTTGGTACCGTGGTTGTAAGCAATGCTGTGCTAGAGCACACGGGAGAGCCTCATGTTCTTCCTGCTTGCATCAGGCCTGGTCAGTGGCCTGGGGCAAGGGCCTCTGCAGTGTTGGGAACACTGAGCCAGGGCCTGCAGCTGGCCTACCTGGCCACATCTTCTCGTCTTCCCCACCCTGATCTCAGAGCTCTTAGCAAACCGCTCTGTGGATGCACACAGGACACCAGAGTATGATTGAGGGGCAGGGCGGGGATGTCATTGCCTATCCCTGTCTCCCTGCAGCACCACCTCAGATGACTCCGGTCTCCATGCTATTTATAGCCCAGGCCAGGCTAAGGGTGGCTCTCGGGTCCTCTGAACCTGCCACCGGCACACTCTTCACAGAGTCTGAAGCACAGCCTCCAAGTCAGGGAGCAGAGGCTGTACAGAGGGCAGCAGATTTGAAAGCAGAACACCTCTGCTTGACCACATTCTTAACGCCTTCCTAACTGGCGCTTCCATCAGAGCAGACCTCAAATCAGCTTTTAATTTGTAACAATAAATTAACAAGTTATAACCGTGTATATTTCTCAGGTACAACAAAAGGTTTGAATCCAAGATTAAAGTGTAGAATAATTATATCAAGTAAGTCAGCATTATCTGTCGCCTCAATATTTTTTCTGTGGTAGAAACATTTGAAATGTACTTTCTCAGCAGTTTTGAAATGTACAATACACTGTTAGTAACTACTTACTAAATTGTGTGACGGTCTCAAAGGAAACGAAAACCCACCTGGTTCTTCCTGCGATTTTAACCTCTGACCACCCTCCCATTTCCATCACCCTCCCTCCCACCACCCGGCCTCTGTCTCCACTAGAACTTTTATAGCGGGTGACTTCTCCCTTGGCCCATCATCAAAATGGGAAGACATAACACCCAAGTAAATGAGTGTCCCTTTCTGTGAAAGGCTGTTCTTACGAACCATGCACCCAGATCTAGCCTCATATATCTGAGGAAGGGTAATGGGAGCACCCCCACACCAGGTCCCTTTCTACACACTCCATCGAAGGCCAGTGCTTAAGGTTGCAATCCTAGCTCTGTAAAATGGCCTTCTTCTCTGAGGGAGGGGTTGGTCCTGTGAGGAGCAGATGAGACACAGACACGTAACCAAATCACTGAGAGGCAGGAGGCTGAGGCTCAAGATGAGTAACAAGTCTTGGCTCCATCTGGGTCTAGCTTTGTTATTTTTTGTTTGTTTGAGGCAGTTTCATGTAGCTAAGACTGGTCTTGAACTTGCTATGTCTCAGAGACTAGCCTTGAACTCTTCATGCTCTTACATCCACTTCCCAAGTGCTGTGATTACAGGGGTGTGCTACCATATCCAGTTTATCACTAGCTTTCTGGCTTTAAGCAAACATCATATCCTTGTTCCATTTCCTTATCTGTGAAATGGAAATGCCAGCATGCAGGTCCAGACCTTTAGAGGGGCTTCTGTTCAAATCCTAGTTCTGCATGTCAGTGGGTGATTCCGTACTGTAGGTATGGAGAGGCACACGGATAGCTCACAGGCATGCTTGCACAGCTAACGTGGGGGTGATAGGCTCATTTGTAGAAGCTGCACATCTGGACAAGCCTCTTCTGTTCTTTAGGTTTTGGTTTTTGTTCCTGTGCAGATTCTCAAACTGTGTGACACTCTTAGTCACCTCCAGGAACTGGACTAGACCGTGTCTTCCTTCCAGATTGCCTGCCCATCCTGGTTTGCTTTCCTTCTTCTGACCTGAGGTTAGGGAGGAGGTTGAGACTCACACTGGGTGCCTGTGAGCCTGAGACCTGCTTCTAGCTCTTGGCCACACCTTCACAATCACCTGCTTCATCTGAGTCATATGCAAGCTGACAGGGTGTTGGAGCTCATGGGCTCTGATCTGGTGGCTGCCAGTCCACCTCAGCTGAGGAACTGGAAGCTATCTTAGAGCGATGAACAGGTAGCAATGGTCACCTGCCTCTGCCACCTCAGCAGACCTCTTGATTGCCATCTCCCCACCCTACAGCCTTCCCTGACCTTGTGTTTTCTTGTAGTGAATCTAGCTTGCTTCTTAGTCTTCATCCGCCAATACCATGTTCCCTCCCATTACCCTGTCAGCCCTAGCCCATTCTCTAAGCTTGGCTCTTCTGTTTGTAACCTCCTGGCTCATACCTTCCTCTCATAGGTTTAACTGTCTTGTGAACAGCATTTGAGCATGAATTGTCTTGCTCCTGGGGGGAATGTCACTGTTAAAACATGAGGGGGCAGGAAAATTTGGGGTATTTTTCAGTTATTGACTTAGGCAGGAGGCAGGCCAGGCACTCTCAGGAGGAGCAAAGGGAGAAACATTTCAGCAGGCTAAGACCCCAGTCTTAAGACTGGTTAAAGTTAACTTCGCTCAGATCCAGTCTTCAGCTGTGGAGCCCCTGTAGGCAAAGGCAAAGGGTGTGTGTGTGTGTGTGGTGGGGTGGGGAACTGTGTGGTCAGCCATTTAGATGTCCACCCTACCACAGACTCCCATTAGTAACCAGGGTTGTAACTGTCTCTAACAAGCAGACTGACCTTTGGGCCAGTGTGCCAGGACCGGCAGGATGGCTGCTCACATCTCCTCCCCATTCCTTTGCAGTGAGGAAGAGGAGGCTGGCAGACCTGACGGGACCCATCATTCCCAAGTGCCGTAGTGGTGTCTAGTGTGCAGAGGAAGCCCACGCCTGTGAACTGGACGTGTGCTGCGGATGATCTGTGTTCCCCAGTGGAGACCAGGAGGCAAATGCTGGCGTGGAACTCTTGTGGTTCAGTTCTTTGTGCACTAAGGTTTAGGTTAACTAGTGACTGTAGTTGGACCTTTTATAAAATATGGTCAATGTGAAGTTTTCTTTAGTCACAGAAGTTCAGTCTGGTTATTATTTAAATGAAGAAGCCCTCAAACCGGCAGATCTTGCTGCAGATGCATGACAGTGGCGGTACCAGCCCAGGAGTCCCTCGGTGGCCATGCTTTGGTATTTAGGTACATTTACAACATGGAACGCGTCAACACAGAGCACTCTCGCCAACTAGTTTGGAAGGGCTGTAAAACGCTTTATTACAGGTTTGATCACAGCAGCTCAGTCAGAAGAACAGCTAATCATGACTTTTCCACCCCACCTGAAACCTTAGCCTCAGATCAAAGCTGCCAAACTGATTCCAGAATCAAACTCCCTCCCCCCAAGAATGAAAAACAAGCTGCAGAATCTTTTAAGAGTCAGAAAGACACAGGATTCCTTCTGCCAGGTAAGAGAAGGGGGAAGAAAAAGGCAACGGTGAAATTTCAAGTTTTAAAATCTACCACCCCAGGCAACAGACATATTCCTGAGTGCTCTGTGTGAACACCTGGGATGTACTCACTGCAGACAGAAATCATTTTTTCTTTATTGAATGCCAACTTCATGATGGATGAAAACCTCTCCAGATACCTCAGTGGGCAAATGGCTTATGTGAGGCCAACACCACTGGGTGAATTTCCAGTCCACTGTGGCTGTGGTATTTAGCATGGCCCTGCTTACAGACACCAAGTGCCTGCCTGGTCACTTATGAGACACATCAAATCACACAGAGCTCTTGTCTACAAATGAAGCCTTTGAAGGACAGCAGTGCACAATGTCCAAACGGCACGGAATTAGGAAATTCTGGCCAAGCGACACAAGTGATTACTCTGAAACCTAAGTTGGGTGTTCCTACTGGGTCCCTTTTTTAACACCACGGGAGTCAGTAAAAATGTTAAAACGTTGTTCTTGTGCCTTCTAATAGACCACAGTGCCAGTTAAGCTAGTGTTTTGTTGTTGCTTTGGGGGATTATTTCCTTAGGAATTCAGCCGATACTATAACAATGACAAGGCTCAACAGCTGTTGGGCACGCCCCGGGGGGCTTCTCACAAGGGAAAGTCCTGCACACTGAACCGCAACGCTGTGGACAGCACAGGGTAACTAGAGGTGGCGCCGGGGCCTCACCACTCTGACAGCGTCTAGTGAGGCTGCACATGGGCCCAGGAGTGGCACCAAGCTGCAGGGATGGCCAGCCCCACTCAGCTTCTCCTTGAAACACAACTGCAGCTGCATTCTGCATCACTGGAAACTGCAACATAATATTAAAGCCATTGGTCTACGTGTGGCTGTGTGTGCTTCTTATGACTCGTGGGATAGGGACATGTGCCAAAGGTCAGAAGGCTAGAGAGCGGCTATGCTGGATGACCTCACTAAGAAAGTGTCTTGTGTCCCAGGTGTCCTAAACCTGCTGCTCATCTGGATCCCTAGAAGGAACACTTCGAAGGAAAGAGAGGGGGTGCTGGGTAATGCAGGGCTGTTAGGTGGACATCTTTCAAAGAAACCAAATCAATAAAAATGTAGGCCACTTGGAGGCCACCTCTCTCAGATGAGCTGTGGGTCTGGCCTGGGGGCTGGCATTTTCTGTGAAAGGACAGAGTGAATCCTTTAGACTCTGAAGGCTACATGGTCTCTGGCCAACTACTCAGTAGTGCCATGATCTCATGTAAAGGAATGGCCGGATTCAGTCAAGTCTTCAAAGCAGAAAGTGGTCAATACCACAGATTACAGATCTCTTCGGGCAGCTGGGGAAGAGGCTGAGGCAGGGGAAGGTGGCAGCTGACCTGGTTTAAGAGTCCAGCCCGGGGTAAAAAGGTTTGCCGGCAAGAGCAACGCCCACTACCCAGCCGCATGGCAGAGGAGTCAAGGCGCAGCTGCCAAGCTCAAGGCTCCTCCCCTCAGCGTCCTTGGGATCCACAATGTTCACCTCCTTCCAGGCTCTCGCATCTTCTGAATCAAAACGGGTAGACCAGGTAGCCAACACTGGACTCCCTGTCCCCTCTGCCTGTGGCCATCTGCTATGGTGGCAGTGACCAACATGGAAGTCCCCTTGACAATCCACACAGGGCCACTTAAGCCTGTATTGTGAAGCTTATGGAACGCTGAAGATGCCACTCAGCCTCACCAGCATCAGGCCCTGGCTCCAGGTTCACAGGGACTCACGCACGCTGCTCCTGTGGGATGCGTGGCCTCCGGGCTGTACACTCACATTCTTCTTTAAAACTGTCCTGGGTGGGGCCTGAAGCTTGCCTGCCCCCTTTGTCTTGACACGTGACACAACAGGCTGTGAATCCTTGTCCTTGACAAGCAGAACAGGTCAAAACGAGCTGGCGGCATTGGGGAGTAGAACAGAGTTTATATTGGTCCCACGGGGCTCCACAGTATGAACATTCTAGGGAAGAAAAAGTCTTATTATTCTCTCTCCCTCTCCCCCGCCTCCTCCCCAACTCCCCCCACCTCTCACACACACAAATACCCACAGAGAGAGAGAGAGAGAGAGAGAGAGAGAGAGAGAGAGAGAGAGAGAATGAATATCCTTATCCCAAATACAATAAATACAACCCTGAGTTCACTAGAATCTAGTATACTCTTGTGGTCCAAGGGAATGTTTCCAAGTCAGGCGGGGTGGCACCAACTATAACCCCAACACTTGGAAGGCTGAGACAGGAAGATTACAAATTCAAGGCCGGCCTGGGCTATATGCACAGTAAGACCCTGTCTCTGAAATAGGAACAAACAGATCAAAAAAATAGTATTCCTATCTTCTAAGAAAGAGAAAGGCCTCTGTTGGCGGTCAGTGTGGTGAGGCTTCTGGAAACCATGTTTTGACTCCCCTTCACCCATCCATTATTCTTTTTTCCATCCAGAAAACAGGTTCATCTCTTTCTCCTGAGCACTTCTGAAACGAGCTTATTACCCTGAGATAAGCTCCCTTTCCAGGGGGATTACATACCTGAATACAGATGACCCCACATCACATCCAACTTGTAAATGCACAACTGTCCACCCTAGGCCACTACCAAAGGCCATTGCCTGGACACCTGACCACCCAACTCCTGAACTGCTCATTACTTCTTTTTCAGCCTGTATTTCCTGGCCACCTTGAGGCCCCTTTGAAAACACCACAGTTGCCCTTGCTTGGCTATGCTCTCTTTGGCCTTTCTCACACTCACAGTCACATGCAGACACTCAAGTCCTGTAGGTATTTCCTCTATAAAATCACTAATTTGTTTTCTTTTTTTGGTTCTTCGAGACAGGGTTTCTCTGTGTAGCCCCAGCTGTCCTGGAACTCACTTTGTAGTCCAGGCTGGCCTTGAACTTACTGAGATCCGCCTGCTTATGCCTCCCAAGTGCTGGGATTAAAGGTGTGTGCCACTACCGCCCGGCTCCTAATTTGTTTTCTACTTGTCATTCGAGGTTTTAAATAAGACAAATATCAGGCCATCATAATGAGTGAAAAGATCAGTACTGTAGGCAGGCAAGATGGCTCCTCAGTGCTCTGGTAAAGGCATACCAAGAATGACGGCCTGAGTTCGACCTCCAGGATCGACATGGTGGGAGGGAGCCAACTCCTGTAGTTTTCCTCCGACCTCCACACGTGCATGGTGGAATGTACACGAGCACATGCGTAGATACATAAATGTAATTTTCACAAGACAGAAATGATGTGAGTAGACTAACTCAATCTTACTCTCTAACGGGTCTGTATTCACAGTGTTCTAGAAACTATGACTGATTCAGATCCTACTGAACTGCAGTATCCATGGCAACCGACCTGGAGGCCTGCCCGGCCCTTTCCTGACTGCCTGGCCCAGCCCTGCAGGCAACTAATGACCTGCTGCAGCGGCCACCCTCACGGCCCTGCTCCTGCTCGTCCCTTCCCACCTCCCACGTGCACTCTGGGACACGGGGCGCTCTGGGGGCGCCACTTGTCGCCCCGTTGTCATCGACTGCCAGGGTTGACTGGGCTCATCTGGCCGTGTCAGCAGGTGCCCCCCCCCCTCCATGTATGCTGCAGCTCAGAGGAGGAGGAGGAGGAGGAGGAGGAGGAGGGCTTCCCAGAGAAGAGCAGCAGTCCTGGAGCAAGGGAGTGCAGGCAGCTGCCGTGCTTCCTGGTAGGAGTGCACACGAGCCCTCCAGTGTTCACA